AGAACTACTTTCCAGTATAACACAAGCTAAACTGATAAACGTACTACCTGTCAGTATAGTTCTCAGATTCACTGGCTTAATTAGATTCACTGGCTTTACTAGATTCAACTTGGGTAGGACTTCTTGTCAAGTTTCTTTCCTTTAATGCTGCTGAATATTTTAGTTTTGCTGGAGAGATTTTGGAGTATATGCCAAGTCAAGAACACCAGGTTCTATTGCACTGACTACAAAGCTACATGATGGATTGCACCAAAATCTCTCCTTATCCAACAGAGTCAACCTGGAAGGCTTCACCCGAAGCAGAAGGAGCTCACACTGAAGTCCCTAAGTAGTTATATTCTAGAACATGGATGCATTATGATTCATATACATATAGGTTAACTCTAGCTAAGATTGCTTTCTATATTAGCCTTCCTAAATGAAGATGTCTCCATCACATGATATTTAACAGAAGCAATTTATTGTGCATCTATCTTTGCAACTGCTGTCTTTTGATTTGTTTAAGAGTTTAAGAGTTATGAATCCAATTAATAATTTTTCCAGGCTCTTCCAAAATATCAGCAGGCCAAATGCTATCTGTCACCTATCCATGTATTTCATGAATGAGGGGGAGGAAAGGGCAGAATCTTTGAAATCTAGTTAAAATGCAAAGAAGTGCTGGTTTGGAAAGCTAAGGTGAACCTCTGCATGTAGCAGAGCCAGGACAAGGTCAATTTTCATTGTCATTTTGGTTTCAGATTATTTGAATGGGGGAGGATATAACTTACTACACTGTAGATCTGTAATTTTCCTCTTTATTTCACCTCTTGTTCTTGATTTGCTGTCTTGGTAAATTTGTCACATTTTTTTTTTTCCCAGAGGTGATGGTAGCTTTGCAAAATTATGTTAGCATTTTTTATCATGCTAGTATTTAGTCCAATATGATACAATCAATAACAACAATTTTATGATCATTTTCTTAGGGATGCAAAAGGAGGAGGGGGAATTTTTTTTCCTTTTGTTTTGTTTCATCACACATGAAACACATTTAGCATATTGGTTTTGGAAGAGCCTCTTTAATGTTATTTTAATACAACTTTTGTATGCAACTCTGACACTCAAATTATAGCACTACTGAACAAAGATTGCTTTTTATTATGGCATCATTCAAATATTTTAATGGAACAAGAGAAGACGAGGAAACCATGCTGCTAGAATTATCACTTTTTTGTGTGTGTGCACAATAACATAAATGATTTTGAAAAATTCTTTTGTATTACTGCTCTTTAAATACCCGTCATTGATGGTAGGAACAATGAAGGGAATAAAGTCTTTTCTATGTATTACATAAAAAAGAAACCCTGAAAATGGTGACCATGTTATGCTTTGTTTTGTTTTTAAAGTATGGACAACAAACAACAAGAAAATTGCTGAAAAAATCTCTCATACACAAGTGCTTTACTGCACTTTTATTTGAAATGGTAGGAAGGCTTAACCTCCTTAAGAAGGTTAGTTATTCAAATTGAGGAAGAAAGTCAGTCTCACAGGACTTCTTAACTTAAAACAAAATCCTGATTTGTTCTTACCATATTGTTCATCTCTTCCAAACTCAAGGAACTGAAGAAGTTGAGTTGGGAGGAACACTACACTATTTCCATCCACACCAAAGGATCTCAGAAAAATATCTCTCACATTAAGGATTGCAGGCAGGAGCAGAGACTTCAAATCACTCCTTCATCTCAGTGCACTGTTCACCCCACCATTTACACTATGACCAATTTACTTCCTGTCATTTAAATACCAAAGCTTTTCATCCATCCCTGCCACCTCTTTCAGTGTTTCACAAAAATGAGATACAGGGGATATCTGTATATAAGGATTTCAGCCAAAAAATTTTGTGCTGTATCAGACACCTTTTCACTGAATGCTTTTAACTCTCTAAAAGCTCTCAGACTGATAGGAAGCTTTTTGTATGTTCTTCCAAGTGCTCTTCTAGCTCTATCTAATGCAAACATGCTTTAAGTAAGTGATATATGTTGGAGGTGTGTTTACATAAACTAGATATGACATATGTGCCTGCCAGAAAGATACCAGTATTGTAAATGGATCATTCATTCTCCTACATTCACATAAAAATAGCTATTAAAAGTAGCCTTAAATGCATCATTCCCACCAGAAAAGGCATTAACTGTAAAGAAACTCACCTCAAACATTTCTAAGCTATTGTCCCGATACACTGGCAGGGGAGGTTTCGATAGGATCCCAAAAGCGAGATTAAGACACCAACAGGGTCAAATGCCATACAACCTTGTTAGCTTTGTTCTCATAAGCACGATAGGACAGACAGAAGAAGGAGAAGATGAAGAAAAAGAAGAGAAAAAAGAAAGATAAGCAAGCAAGTGGGAGATGCAACAAGATGCCTCAGGACTGTGTTCCTGAATGAGCTTAGGTCACATTCTTCCAGGCTAGAATGGGAAATTCTGAATGCTTCGGCTTCCCAGAAATCCACTCCAGCATAATAAATAAAATAAGCAAATTATACTTAAGAGGAGAAGGCATCAAAGATCCAGGCAACCCTGAGACGTCACAGCTGCTTCTTTAACTCAAATTGTTGTCAGTTGTCTCAGATGGTCTACAGATATATGCAGCTTATATGTAGCTTATGTACAGCTACATCTCATTAAATCAAACTTCTAAAGTCCAGTGTCTTAAGGAACATCTCCCACATATGCACCTATAAAATCAATAATTGAACAGGACATATTCACCAAGAAGTGCCCATAGTCAACTCAGAGTTTTACAATACTATCAAAAAAAATTACTATCAAACACACAACTCACCTTGAAGCCAGACAGAACTCCAGTTTCAGCAAACGTAAAATCTCTGGCAGATTTTCTGAATTCTGCTTTGATCTGGATCCAGGGCTCTGCTTAGAGAAGAGATCTCTTCCTCTGATGGTGTTGGCAGGAGCTTGGAAAAAGAAGAGTTTGAACTGTGAGTGTTAGTTTTGCTGAAAAGACTTTCTAAAACAGAAAGACTTTGTAAATTTGCCACTGAACATTTGTTCAGCATCAGTTTTTCTTGACAAATAATACTTTATCTCCCTTTATCTCATCCTTTATCCTCAGCTTATTCCAAAAGCACATTCCTGGTTCCAAAACTAAGGCTAGGGCTTGGTCCAGTAAGTGAATAAAATTTTTAACTGGTACTTTAAAATGGCATTAGAAGCCAGTGAGCCAGTGAAAAGAAAAAAAAAAAAGATTCCTGACTGTATTAGGACACACTGGCAGATGCAGATACATGTCTGTAAACTTGCATTACTCTTACTTAGTTATATATTCCTAACTGACTTTTCTGAATTTATATTTTGGAGACTAATTCATTATATTTATTTTGATCCTCCAAATCCTCTTATTTGGGATCAGTAAAATATTAACCTTTTAAATCACTCTGGAGTGGAGTCTATACAGGTAGGAAAACTATGTAATTTTGTGATTTTCCATGGGAGCATAATTTTGTGCTTTAGTAAATTAATTGGAAATTGGGGGGCAGAGGAATTGTGTTGTGAAGATTATATGATTCCTGAATATAGACAATATAAGTTTTGTCTATGTTTTTCTATTTCATTGTCTTTCAGGGAAGAAAATGCACCTTCAACTTTTTGCTGGTGGACACACACACAGTACACCATAAATAGCATGACTAGCAAAACGTCCATCGATATAAGAAGCAGAATCTTCTCTGATGCAAGCAACTTTGCACTTCAATTTGAAAAAAAAAAACATAATACATAATACATGCATTAGTATCTCCCCTCTGCTCTAGTTTATCTTCTGTATGTTCAGTTTAGTTCTATATGGGTCATGCAGTTAATAAAGCTAAGAAACAAAGCTGACAGGACAAGCCTGTTGAGGAGAAGAAAACCTGTCGTACTGGCACCATCTTTCTGCACAGCTACTCCTACTTTACGTAATGCTTTTCTGTCTTTTATGTGTCTCCTTCTCATCAGAGGCACTATTCACTACAAATAAACTCCATGCCTTGTTGCTCATAATGAACTCACTCAAATTATGTAATGTTTCATTATCAATTAAATGCTATGCATCTCAGCATTTGTCTTCAGTGTGTAAATATGCACTTGAAGTAAAAGATCCACAGGGGTCAAACCTGAGCAGAATTGCTGACTGCCTCATCCATCAGTCCATTTATATGATGTAGAGGTGCTGATTGATGACATATGGACATTTCTGAATCTGGACTCAAGACCGGATTCCAGCCATAATCTTCTGTTACACATTTTGAAAACACTTACACTTTACTTATATATAAATCCCTATATAAATCCATATATATATATATATATATATATGCAGATATATAGATAATAAAGAACTCTGCTCCTGATAGAGACTGTAACCAATGGATAACAATCGACAGCAGAAAGATTGATGAGTCAGGAAAGTAATCTCAGATTCAGGGAATCTCAGATTCTTTATTTCTTTTGTAAAAACTGTTCAGGCACTTTAGCTATCCAGCTTCACACATGTATTCACAAAATTCTTAATGTCTACTTTGGCAGTTGGATCTCTATCATAATATATGAGAATTTGGACACCCTCAAAACATGTGGAGATTTGGGTCTTGCTCTTCAGATTTCTTACGGAAAGAAATCCAAGAACTAAGATTTTAGAAAATAGAGACTTCCCTACTCAATGCCAATGACAGTTTTTCAGTTTGCTCTCCACTAGCAAGTACAAAAATCATGCCTGGGTATAACAGAATGTAGATCTCTTTTTTTTTTTAATAAAATGTCCATGGCATTTGTCTCTGCATGTTCGACTGTTCACATTGACTTAACGCAGAGCTAATTACTGCATCTATATCTTCATTCTAGCCACAGGCAAATCAGCACCCCAGCAGTCTGACCCTCTTAGGCTTTGTCATGAAAGTAACCATGAAAACATGTTTTTTTTTTTTTTTAATAGAGAAGGCCATTAGATTTTCACATAAAATTGAACTAAATTACGAATTCACATAATATAAGCGATAGACATTTTCTCCAGTAGTCAGTTAATGGCTTTTTAGAAGATTTACATACATGACATAAAGTATGCAAAGCCCTACAAAGACAACAAAGAACAATATTTAAAAGGTTATGCTTTACAGAGGCTTTACAGAATAAGATGCTTATACAGACAACATGGTTGTCTAGTCTAAAGTTTATATGCTCATATATACATGCTCCACTTTTAGATCACATATCGATGCAGTATGCTGTATAAATGCAATGAAACTTTTACAAAATAATCACAGCAAAGTTGCAAATAATTGTCCTTGCAGGTCATGCACTCAGTTGTTTCAGTGAGAATTAGATAGAAAGATGGTTTCCCACAATTTAAAAGAAAGAACTAGATCTAAATATCTGATGCCTCATCCAGTTTTCATTAAAGCTGCCAGAAACTCACAGTGCGAAGAGGACTGAACTCCTAAATGCACAAGGCTATCCTTTAACTGACTGGATGCTACAGTTCACAAGACTAGTTTCAAAGCTCACAAAAGCCATTTCTCTTGATTTCATTGAACTGTAACTCTGATACATATGAAGATGTTGTCTACTCTACTACTCTCTGTTGTTTGGGAGTTTTTCCTTAAAGCGGGCTCTTTTAATTTAAATCAAGCCAGTACCACTTCTGGTGGTTTGGGGATCCTGCTTGGGGCCACAGAGGCAGCTCCTGCCCCTGTGGAGCAGCTAGGCCAAGATGCTTGCAGAGATAGCACTCAGCTGCCTGTGCAAACAGTTGCTCTTCAGCCCTCCAGATGAAAGACATGAGCCAGATGGATGGGTCACAGATGCTATAGTCACCCTGTGGGAGGCCAGCTGGACTGAGCTACTGTAAAATTGTGGTAAGAATTCCTCTGTTTTCTCATATTAGTGCTAAGAAAGTCTAAGGGTAACAATTCCAGTTTACTGTAAAGAAGCATTTCTCTAGACTTAACTTCATTAACTTCATTAATCAATCACCCTTCTTCCAGCACACATCAGTACAATGTTGCTCTTAATGGCAGAAGGAGGAAACTGCTCAGAAAGAGAGGAAGTTTGGAGCCTATGCATGGTGTTTTCACCGCAGCCCAAGAGAAGTGCGCTTGTCTTATTCCCCAGGACACTGAGATTAGTGCCTACATCAGACGCCTACCCATAAAAACAGAAAATATGAAAGAGCTATAGTTATTGAACCAAAGCCAAAATGCAAAACTCGTGCAGTAATTAAAGCGTAAAAAAGGGTAAATTTTGTGTGTGTGTGTGTACGTGTGTGTGTGTGCAAGGATACCAGGATAATCCTGAGTTTTTTTGTTTTTTTTTTTTTAATCAGCTGACATTATTCAGTTCTTTCTTCTGATACCAGCCTTAGTAGCAGAGTCCTGGGAGAAAAATACACCCCCCACCTCACTGCATGATTCACCTTCATTGCAGAGCTGTCTCTTAGCACTCCCTGAAAAATCAGTTTTAGTACTCGCGCTGCATTTGTAATGCTACTCACTGCTCGGCAGCTCAGGCCTCGGAGCAACGTGGAGTCAGGAGCACCACCATGTGGCTCCCTGGAGATAAGAAATAAAATGTGACTTCAACTGAAACAGCAGATGTTTTGACATAAGAAAACCTGCTGAGCAAAGTTGCTATAAAAAGGCACAGAAGTCTTTATTTCTTTTTTTTAAGGAAACTAAGGTATTTATCTAGTCCAGATTAATAATAATAACAACAACAACAACAACAACAATAATGCAGATTGCCCAATATACTACATACCAGAAACCGGCAGCCTGGAGCGTCCCTTCAGAAGATGTAAACTGTAATGCATGTGTAGGTGTAGGACTGGTGAGGGGAGCTGTTTTGTGCTTTTAGCTGTGTAGGTTTGTGGGGTTTTTTTAAACAAAGATTGCTTTATGATATGGCAGTGAAGGTTTAGTTGCTATAGTTACATTTCCTAAATCACTGCCTGCTATATTGCCAGTCTGGGATTCAGAGGCACCCATGAGTCAGTAATGCTTGCCATAAAGATGTGGCAGCTTGTCTTCTGAGGGCAACTGTTTATCCCTGTGACATGCTGAATGAGGTACCATGTCAGATAAGCCTCTGTGCACACAGAAAGATTTATCATACAGCATAGTTTTATCATTCTCAGTAACAAGCCCATCTTTTCAAGATGGGTGATTTTTAATCTCCAGATTAAGGGAAAAAAAAAAAAGGGCAAAGATGAGCCAAAACCTCTCTACCACAGACCACAGCAGTGGTATGATCTGTAAGATGCTATGAGGCTACAAAAGAGCTGCTTTCCAAAATATACAGCTAGGAAGAAGGCACAGGAAATCAATTACTAATAGTAAGATTATTTCGCTATATGCATCATAACTCTGTAACAACTTTCCCTTCCATTTCTGCTACTTCCCTCCTCCTTTCTTCTCAATGCCTATTTCTGAAAAGGATACATTTCTTTTCCTAATGTGTTTTTACCGTCTTCTTTTCATATTGCTGCCTTTCCCCTTGGTAGAGAGGTTGAGTATCCTACAAAGTTGTTTTTTGCTCGTTTGTTCATCTGTTTGTTTTGGTTTCTTATTTTACAAAGTGGCACAATTTAGCCAAATCTGTAGGCTATAAAAGGAGAGATCATGGCAATTGGTCCTTTGGGTAATAAGTTTCTCTCATTTTGCAGTATCATGAAAAGGATGCTTGGGCAGTATTGAAATCCTGCCAGCTTCCATCAAATCTTGCTAAGTTTCAAAACAAGCACTTTTGTGCTTCCTCCCACTCTTCCTTTCTGCATCTCAGAAACATCTGCAACCTGCCTCACTGTTGTTAGCCAAATCTCCTTTGAGCACTGTCATTGCTGGTGCCCGTATAACACAAAAACGGTTAAGTTTCTGCTGTGCTGAGGACACTGCCTATCGTGTTAACTAACGCCACTTTTTAGTTCCGGCATTCCCCATCTGCCTGTATCTATCTGGTGTAGCTTATTCCTCAAATATAAACTCTGAGGGAAGACTATCTTTATTGCTGGGTTTGCACAACTTCTCCAGACAATAATAGTACACTGCAGCAGTACAAATATTTCAGTGGGTCCCAGTCTAGTAGATTCAGCCTGTTTGGACAATAAAGGAGAGTTACAATTAAACTGCTAGTTGCTTTAGCTGTAAGTATGTAGGCAGAAATACAGCAAAAGCAGCTAATTCCAAAGACGTAGAGCTAGAAGAAATTCTAAATCTGCAGAAGGTGCAGTGATGAATAACTGATTTTTTTTTCTGATCACATGTCAAACAGCGTAATAAAGATGGTATTTCTAAGAACTGTAAAAGTGCCATACTTTCATAACGGAGGAGTGTCCTACTCAAATGCTGAACTCTACTCCTCATTCAGACTACCACTGTTTTTACTGAGACCTTGCTTGGTTCCCAGCCATATGACACATTCCTGTGCAACTCTGTGTTCTTACCACTCTCCCAAATTCCTGGAATGCTGAATGAATGTGTGAGGCTGAGGAAGGCAAAACAGGGATGACGTGTCACTACCATTTGCAGCATTAAGAAGCCAGCTTGGATCATTTTGCAGAGAATGAGTGCAACGAATTATTGTATTTGGAAAAAAAAAAAGAGGAAAAAAGCCTATATTTTAAAATGCAAGATAAGATGAGAGGTTGAATGGATACCCCTGTATCACAGCAATTGGGTGAGCATGTGTGTGTGTGCCCACACACGTGAGCATTGTGTGTGTACATGTCTTACCCCACCATAGTACCTACATGTAATAAATTCATTCTTCTAAATCCGAAATGCTGTGGATTTTGATAAAAAATCCCTACTCTAATCTACCACTCCTACTCTAATCATGAGGTGCAATAGGTACCCTGTATAAACTATCAAGGGTCTAATCTCATTTACAATAGTCTATGTCAAGAATGATTCTGGACCAAAGTCAGAACATAAAACAGGAATCACAGGCTTTCTGCAGAGAAAGACTCCTTAATTGTTGCACCTAAACAACAGTTAAACTTGGCAGTGATTTTCATATTCTGACTGAACAACATCATTTTAGATCTTGGTCACTTTCTCCTAAGGACTTGAAAAATTCACACTAAAACCACTGGGATTCAGTCCCAGATCAGCCCCAGACCTAAGCCCGTGTTCTTGCTTCTGCAGTTTGTTTCTGCTCAGCTTTGCTCACATCAGCATCCCAATGGCTAGAGACATATCTGGATTCTTTGCATTGTCACTGCTTTCTAGTTATGGCCAGAAATCACAGATGAACAATATTTCTTAAGAGATTCCTATGTTTTCTACTGTTTTTCCCAGTTGGACATAGTCTTCCTATATATATATATATATATATATTTTATATTTTGAAATCTTTTCTTCCAAGAATTTGGTTCTAGAAACAAGCAGTTTGCAGCAACAACAACTAGCAGAAAAATATCAGTTTATACCATGTTTCTGACAACTTCAGAAATGTTTGGCTCAGGTGTTTAATGCTAGGCACATCAGAAAACCACCTGCTTTCACACACATGGCAAATGTTTCCCGTACAGCTGGCAGTATGTTTCCTGAATGGAATTTAGGAAACACTGCCACTAAATGCAATAGGGCTCACCAGGTCCCTGAAGCTTGTCTCTATCTGCAGAACATTGTTCAATCACCATTTCCAAATTTTTGAGGAGATGGAGAGATAAAAACTGAACAAAGATCGCTTTGGTAGGCATGTGACAGAGAGGGGCAATATTTTTCTCCCACATGAAAAGTTTTCCACTTCAGCTTCCCCTCCAAATCTTGACAATACCAATGATTAAAAAGAAAATACAAACCTATGGCCTTTTCTAATTGCTGCCCTGCTGTAGCTTATTAAAATAATAATACGCTTTATTTATGTAGCACCTGTCCACAAAAGCATCCCAAACACTTTAAACATACAGCAGATGATAAAAATAACTGTGTTATTTTTAACAAACAGAAATCATTAAATCATTAAACATAATTCAAAATAATAAACCCAATCCGTGTGCCTCAAAAGCAGCATTATAATTAAAATAATCCCATGGAACTGAGTTTCTAAGAAAGAGAGTTGTTTTCAAATGCCATTTTGAGTCCAAGGAGGAAATATACTCCAATGCAGCAAAGCCACAAGAACAAAGATACAGACAGTTTTGATAGCTCTTGCAAACAGTGTTAAAGCTACACATTTTTAAGCTCTCAGAGGAAAAGATTCTGTGACTGTTATTTACATTACCTTAGTGCCTCAGAGGTAGAAGTAGATGGGACAGAAACTCCATTAAACTAAACACTGTTCAGATTTAACATCTGGCTTGATGCATAGCATAAGCCCTGTCCCATGATATGAATTGTGCCAGCCACCCGCTGCAGGCCTTTCCCCTGAGCAGCGGCTGCTAATGTCATCAGATCCAGATGTCTTTAGTTTCAGTCAGTCAGATGGGGCCATGGCAGAGAGCAAAAATTGTGCACGCCACAACTATAAGCTGCATAAAAATTGGAGGGGAGGGAAAGGAAAGGAAAACAGAGAGTGAGGGACAGGAGATTGCTTCCACCAACTTAGTCTGCAAGGCAGTGTCCAAAGGCAGAAAGACAACTGAGATTTCCCACATCCAATGTTAAATCCCTGTTCCTTGGACTCAACAAGAGTCACGAAAGAGGCTAATATGAGGGCGTACCTGTGAATCAAATTGTTATGAGATTACTAGACCAAAAAGGAAAAGATGAGGTGGTGCATAATTTTACTTACAGCTAACAGAGCAAATTTAGCAGCAGATGAGCAGAATCTCATCTTCCTTAATCATGTATATGTACATACAGAAATATATATTTACACACACACGTACATAAACACATTACCACCCTACACCAGACATCTCACAGAAAACGAATTCCCTCACTTTTGTTCCTCAGCCCCTCTGGCCTTTCTCCTTGCCAGTTCCTGGCAGTTCTGAGTGACCTAGTTTTTGACAGCACAAGTAAATAAGTCTGTGACATATCTCCCCTGCCTCTGCTGCAAAACAAGTAAGAGAAATGTAGCTGTCTCTTATTGGGGGCACTATGGGCCGCATTTCACCAAGAGATCTTTAAAAGGCAAAACTGACCAAAAAATGAAGCGTGTGGAGGCTACCAGCAGAGCAGGCTCTGCTGAGAACTGCTCAATAGGTCTATGAAGCTCTAGTCTGCTCTGATTATGGACAGTCCAAAATATCTAAACTGACAGAATAACAGCCTGGCGTGCTCGTGTCTAATGACTCACAGTACCAGATGCTACTGAAATCTGGAAATACTAATAAGAGCTTTTCTGGCCCTCTATGATAAGAAAGTCACTACTGAGTGATGAGAGGAACCTGGGATCCAACTGTAGTGGGACTGACCTTCTCTGTATATATCAATGCTGTTTACATAACAACATCCATGAACCTAGAGATAACACAATATACTGCTATTTCATCAGTTTTGTGGCATTCCAATCGTTTTCCTTGACTCAAATGAGATAAAAATGGACAAAATGGCCAAGACTACGTATTATACTTCTGTTTGATTTTTCAAAACCAGAGCTCTTCAGGAATAATGTTAACAATTTTGCTAATAAACCAATCAATGGGGGACAATTCCCTACTCTTTACAGTGTCACAGCCAGTATAATGCATGAGGCAGTCCACAGTCTCAGCGAAGTTTGAGAGATGGAGAAAGAGCTCAAAAAAAAAAAGAAATAAATGTATTTTCCCTCACATTTCACCCATGTAGGGTATTGTGTTTCTCTCGCTACACTCAGCTCTTCTTATAGGATATTTGCAGAGGCATGAAACACGGGTATCTTACCCAGGGATACAGTCTCCCAAGGAATCACTAGTGAGGAGTATAGCCTACCAGTGCAAAATATGGAGCAGCTGCATTGGGCACATATCTTTGCAATTAGGACTGGATTTGATTTCTTAAATTAGGTCTTGCCAGCTTCTTCCCTTCCTTATTAAATTCAACTCACATCACGGAAACAAGGACTGTTCAAAGATAAAGTGAGGCCAAGACATAAACTTTGGCTGCTTTACTGTCAGTAATAGGTGACCCAGGTCAGAAAGACCACTTCCCCACATCTCCTGGAGTGGGCTAGAAAACACAGCACAGGATAATCATAGCAACCTGAGTGTGGGTTATTGTTCTTCTAACATTATCATCAGCTTGTGGCAGAGGGGAGAGATTCTGGCTCCCATCACATTTATTTTGGAAACAAGACGTTAGATGTTAGTGACAACTTTTTCATCAATTCGTCCAAAGATTTGTTTCCACCATTTGAGGATGCTGGTGTATATCTCTGCCTGATAGTGATGAGAGAAAGATTTGTGCAGTGTTTTCTCCAACTTTAAGTGTGTACTGCATATGAGTCATTTGTTTTCTCAAGTCGCATTGTTCATGTTTCAGAACCTATTCAGTCTAAAGGATGATGTGTCCATGGTTAACAATATGATGTTTACTTCACACTTTTCAACCACCCACATCTACCTGCAAGATTACATGCTGTGGCAGCTATGCATAGAAGCCTCATTCCCATGAGGTGAATATTATTCTGCTTACTTTCAGACAAACAATAGAGAATCGAGGAATTAATCTGACTTGATTTAGTCTGAATGATTTGCACATTTAATGTACAGCTAAAAAAAACTCACAAGGAATAGCAATACTGTACAGTGTGGAAGAAAAAAAAAGGAATAAAAATTCAAAAAACAAATCAGTAACTGCAGTTCTCAGCGGGGCTATGTTCAAAATCCCAGATGCCAACCATTTTGCAGCAGTAAGAACAATATAGCCAAATCCCCTGCTGCAGGTAGCGGGGACACAACTCATTTTCCTAAGCCATTTCCATAGACAGCATCTTGATCTGGCTCTGCCACGGGAGCATTCTCAGGGCAGAGTTCCCCGAGCTGGCCTGCACCAGGAGGAGTGTTGCCAGCAGGCTGAAGGAGTGATCCTGTCCCTCTACTCAGCTCTGGTGAGGCCACACCTGGAGTACTGTGTGCACTTCTGGGCTCACCAGTACAAGAGGGACAGGGAACTTCTAGAGAGGGTCCAGCGTTGAGCGACAAAGATGGTTAAGGGACTGGAGCATCTGTCACATGAGGAAAGACTAAGCGAGCCGGGCGTGTCTAGCCTGGAGAAGAGAAGATTCAGAGGGGATCTCATCAATGTGTACAAATACTTGAGGGGGAATATAGAGAGGATGGGGCCAAACTTCTTGGTGGTGGCTGGTGACAGGACAAGAGGTAGTTGGTATAAATTGAAACACAGGAAGTTCCATGTCCATATGAGAAAGAACTTCTTTCCTGTGTGGTTACCAGAGCACTGGAACAGGCTGCCCAGAGAGGTTGTAGAGTCTCCTTCTCTGGAGATCTTCAAAACTCACCCGGGTGTGACCCTGTGCCACATGCTCTAGGTGTCCGTACTTGAGGAGGGCGTTGGACTAGATGGTCTCTAGAGGTCCCTTCCAACCTCAAACATTCTGGGATTCTGAGGAAGGAAGCGCTCAGCCCAGGCAAAGAATACTAATTCCCATTCTAGGAGCAGCTGGAACACACAGGAATGAACCTCACTAGGGTCACAAAGTGCTTCCTGTTCCCTATGCTCTGAAAACTGCGTTTAGTGTTCATGCATGTGGTCCAGTTCAAAGCAGGTAGAAATTTAGAGCCAATTCTCCCCCCTAATATGCACCTAAAAATGTATCAGATCAAAGCTACCAACTACCTTGGAACTTTCATCTCAGCCTCTTCTGTTCCAATGCAACATGGACATGAAAATAATGCAGTCACCAGGAAGAAGTTTCTCCCCACAGAAGAGAGGTTTCACTCTGAACAGCAACATCTCTTACATGCAACTTTTTGGAATGAGGAGTGAGATGCAGCCTAGATGACCTAAGGAAGGCAGAGAAAACACACTGAGTGCCTTCATCTTTACAGTCATTGGGCAATATAATATACTGTAAAAAGAGACCAAAGAACCTGGGAAAGAGCCCAAAACAGCCTATATCTCAGTTAATTGTTAGAAGCAAATTTCTAATGATTCTAATAAATTTCTAATTGATTTCTGCACACAGTATATTATTAGTAATGACAGACTTACTATTGTTTTTCCCCAGGGAAAAATTCCAGCCAAAGGAGAAAGGACTTGCCTGGAACCTATCTGCAATACAGACATCTCAGGGCTGAGGCCAGTGCATACACTTGGTGCAGGGACAGGATGATGACCAGGTCTGGAGAGAAACAAAGAGGTCAAAACAATCTAAAGCCAACAACTTGTTTTACAACTCGTGATTCAGAGAGATGCACAGTGGGCCATGTGCTTCTGCTGGCAACACATTCTCCTTTAAATTCATCTTTTGATGCATCCAAGCACTTGAGGTATATTGGGCTGCAGAGCATCCCCGTTATTGCTCTGCTAGAGAGAAAGGTCCTTGCAACCCTCCTGATCCTGTTGATTTTCTGTCTTCCTCCTCATTCTCTGAGAGTCTCATTTCTGTGTGTGCCATATCCCTGAGGTAACTTGCAAAATGAAATCATAAATAATGCAGACAATATGCTAGTATGTCTTACTTTCTCTCAGACACTCTGGAAAAAAAAAGAGAGAAAAAGAAAAAAGAAAGCAATCATGAATGCCATTTCACCCAGCCAAAACAGCACAAGGTGCTCATAACATATGAGGATATCTAGCCCACTGCATGGGCAGATAATTCTGTAACTGAGCTGCCAGCTAGCTCCTAATCTACCTTCTACAGATGAGTAACTCCGTGACCAATCCTGCTGTTTCAGCTTCTCAAAAGAGAGAAATCTCTCTCTTGAATGGCTTCCAGTACTTCTTAAAAGTCCTAACAGGGCAGAGTGTGTGCAAAAAGAACACCATTCCTCACACCCAAGGGAAAACAGAGCAGAACATGAAAATGGTAGAAAACATTCTATATATCCCATTTCAAAGATTCAGATTTTATATTTTATCTGAACTTACTTCATTACATTACTTCTTTATCTCCACTTCAAAACTACTATTAAAATATCTCCTCCTCTGGTACGGACAGCAATGAGTAGCATATAAAGAAGAGTTATATTTTATTTTCTCATCACAGATTGAAAGAAATTATTACAAAATCCTCTCACTGGTAGAGAGGATTCTTGGAATTAGCACAAATACAATATGGCATTCATTTTTTTCATCTTCAGGTTTGTCTGTAAATACAAGCACATAGTGTACGTGTATATCTTTACATATTTACAGCTTGGTGTTAATAAAAATAGGCTAGAGAGAGTTACAATAATAAAAAAAAACATCCTTTCCAAAGGTGGAAAATGACACAGAAGAGTCATAATGAGTTTTTACACTGCAGAGTCTTTCTTCAATTACTCAGGAGATAAGGATGAGTTGAGGATTTTGTCATTCAATTGCAAATTAAAGCATCACTTCACACAGAGCAGGATCAGGCACTGAAATCACTTGTCAGGAGTTTGACACTTACAAGAGCTTCAGTGTCTGGAACTCACCATATCTTCTCCTGCTGACTTGTGCGCCTGCATGAAGCCTCTCTGTGCATTCAGGCATCATGGTCTCAGTGGAGCTGTTAGTCCAGACAGAAATATTTTAATAAAATGGAATGAGGAGGAGAATGAAAAGAGGGAGTGAGGGAGTATAGCTATGCTGATTGATCCCTAGCTTGGGATCAATAATTTTGGATTCAACCAAAATGATGTAAAGCACTATGATCCCTTATACTACCAGCTGTGCATGCTAAACAAGTTTTTTATACATGCGCAGAGCACTTTTAACTTCAAAGATGCCAGTTAAGGAAAGTGTCACTCCTCAGGACATACAAAACAATCTGATTATTGGCAGCTCTTCTCTGGCTTAATTCCCTACAGGCTAGAGCAATTTCCTTGAACTAAGACTGTTATTTTAAATCTCTTTTTCCTGATGGGCTATTTTCCAACATTCAAGCCCGATCATGTGGCTACACACTGTTCAGGAGATTGGGATGCATTCCTCCACCTTGCCAGTTGCTTTCACAACTTTTCTATAGAAAGATTTAAAATTTAATGAAACAGAGACCAGAAACAAGTTCTTTCCCCCTACTGAACAGGTGCCCCAAGTACCCTTTCTGCCCAAGTACCCATGTAATGTATATATTTATATCTAAAATGTAATTATTTTCATTTGGCCTTTCATGTGTAATGATTTCAGCAGGCAGGAGTTGAGGGAATCCCAATGCCCTGTTACTTGAAATTTAGGACACTCTGAAAAAAGGCCTGACAGTCTTCGAGCTCTCTCAGCAACTGAGGGCTTGGATGCTTTGTGTTCTATATTCCACGCGACTTGTCTAACCAGAAGAAGAAGAACCATGGAAGAACTGAAATAATGACATGCCCATTTCTCATGACTCCCTTTTGTTTAAGGGATGATCTGGCAGATCTAGGTCTCCTAGAAAAATTAAGAAGAGGAATTGATAGCTAACTCATGACCCTCAGTGAGAGTCTTGAATTATTTTCTCTCATAAGTGTGAGAAAATAGTGGAGTTTTTTTTTGCTTGTTTTCCTGAAGATTTATGTCTATTCACCAGGCGGGCAGGCTCCCTTGAAAGTGTATCTTTTACTTTAAATGGTTGATTAAGAAGAGTATTGCTAAAAATAGTACTGTTGCATACTATAGCATACTTAAGGAAACAGTAAATAGAACTAAAGCAGAGCTCGGAAGGTTCCACTTTGAATTCCAAACTTTTAATCCATTCCTGTATACTGATTATCCATAGATTGCATGCAAGAGAAGCAATCTTTTTCTCCACCTCTTAGTCCTTAACATGCACAGCTGCCACAATCCAGCTGCTCCAAAGACTCTGGCTCAGACAAGGGAAGTTTTGCAAGAAGACTAAAGCCATGAGTCCCCTCCATCAGCATCTTCCCAACCTCCCAAAACCATAGTCAATCACATTACTTCAGAGCATATAGTAGGAGAGCCACCACTATGTGATGAACAGATCTGGGTTTGCCCACATAAGAGGTGCATCAAGATATGCCCTGCCCATCATCTGTGCATCCACAAGGCATTTACCAAAGTAAGTTCTTCCTACTGTTGTTGAGAAAAAGGAGAAGAATATAGTATCTGTTCAAAGAAAGTGTTCATTTTTTAACACACCAATAAATCCCATCAAAGTATTTACTGCTTGGTATTTGATTAAGTCGACATTTTGCAATAAATGGCAATTATCCTATAAATGGCCCAACTTGATGACCTAGCCCTTGGAGAAAGTCATTGTATTCTCTGGTGCTCAACATCCTGACTTTTAGCAGACCTCAGGCAGAGAAACAAAACTCAAAAAATGCAATGGACCACTCACGCAAGGTCAAATTTACATCAGCAAAGACTTCTAAAACCACTGTGCCTGTATTCTTGGCAGTTGCCATAGATTATGAGGATTCTTGCTTCTAGACACAATTTTTTTTCCCCAAAAGTAAAGCTAAATATATCAAGGTAGGCATGCGCACACTATGGTACTAGCAAGGAGTGAAAAAGAAGAAGACTTTTAACATAAATCAAATGAGTAAAAATATCCATCAGACAAATTCAGAATTTTGGTAGAAGGAAGGCAGACCTTTTTTTAAAAAAAAAAAAATCCTTATTTTGCCTTTTTGAGTCTTTTTCAGAGAAGCAGCCAGTGGTACTCCTAGCAGTGCAATGGAGTTACCTTCCTCAGTATACAGTGAGTCAGCCACTGAGACATCTGGCCCAGAACAGAGGAAGACTACAATTACAGCTGAGAGTGTTATTTTTTAATATTTATTCTTATACTTCCTTTTCTCTTCCTGAATCCATTGTATCAAACAGTGTTCTACTTGAGACTGATATTCAGCAGCTAAGGTAAATATATTTACACTTCCACAGGAAAACTCTTGCCTCTACATGATTGCCATAGGCCTGCAGAGATGAAAGAACATCTGCTTCTCTTCACAGATTTTCAAGAATGTAAGAAGTGAGAGAAATATCACAGAACCCTCATAATTCAAGAGAAAATCAAAGACACAAAAGAAAATGGAGAAAAGATCAAGAGAGCTGATTTAGCTCACTCCAATGTCAGTACTTTACTGCAAGTGCTGCCAATAGGACGGCTGAACTCTTTTCAACATCTTTTTGCTCTGGTGCTTTTCCAAGGATTCTTAGCTTTTGTCTGACCCATCGGAGGAACAAATCAAGATAAATT